AGCCTCATCAAAAATATAGGGGGAAGCTCTGGACACCAACAATTCCAAGCTATTTCAGCTCTGGTTTATTCTTGTTCTTGGTCAATGGCCGGTTCTACAACATGAGCCTGACTCCACAGCCAAGACCTAAGCATGGACAGCATCATCCCTCTTAGGGAGGAATATAAAGACACTGATCAAGCGTGCAGGAACAAGTTTTGGAAAGGGCATGGAAAACGGTGAGATATTCAATGCGTTCTTCACCTTGGTCTTTACTGGTAAGATTTGCCTTCAGGAGTCCCAGGTTGTCAAGACCAGCGAGAAAGTGGAGCAAGAAAAATTTACCCTTGGTGGAGGAGGATCACTATCTAAATAAATTGGAAAAAACACAGGCTGATCAAACCTGATGAGATTCACCCAGGAGTGCTGAGGGAGCTTGCTGATGTCACTGTGAGGCCAATCCCAATTATCTTTGAAAGGTCATGGCGACTGAGAGAAGCTCCTGAGAACTGGAAGAAAGCAAATGTCTCTCCTGTCTTTGAGAAGGGCAAGGATCCAGGGAACTACAGATCAGTCAGCCCCACCTCCATCCCTGGGAAGCTGATGGTATCCTCCTGGACACCATTTCCAAATATATTAAGGACAAGAAGGTGATAAGGAATGGTCAGCATTGATTTATGAAGAGGAAATCATGACTGACCAAGGCGGTAGCCTTCTAAGACAAGATGACTAGGTTGGTGAATGGGAGGAGACCAGTGAATGTTGTTTATCTTGACTATAGTAAGGCTTTTGAGCTCTTATAACACCCTCACACAAGCTAAAAAGTGCAGGCTAAATAAATGGACAGTGAGGTTGACTGAAAATTCACTGGGCTCAGAGGGCTGTGATGGGCCATACAATGTCCAGTTGGAGGTAGTCACTTAGCGGTGACTAGCACTTTACTCCTGGGTAATACTGGGTGCTGGGCCAGTACTTTTTAACATCTGGACAGAGGCAGAATGCACCCTCAGCACATTTGCAGATAATACAAAATTTGCAAAATGTGCCCTCGTGGCCAAGAAGGCCAATGGCATCCTGGGGTGTATCAGAAGGGGGGTGGTCAGTAGGTCGAGAGAGGTTCTCCTCCCCCTCTACTCTGCCCTGGTGAGACCGCACCTGGAATATTGTGTCCAGTTCTGGGCCCCTCAGTTCAAGAGGGACAGGGAACTGCTAGAGAGAGTCCAGCGCAGAGCCACAAAGATGATGAAGGGAATGGAGCATCTCCCTTATGAGGAAAGGCTGAGGGAGCTGGGTCTCTTTAGTTTGGAAAAGAGGAGACTGAGGGGTGACCTAATTAATGTTTATAAATACGTGAAGGGTGAGTGTCAGGAGGACGGAGCCAGGCTCTTCTCTGTGACATCTAGTGATAGGACAAGGGGCAATGGGTTCAAGCTGGAACATAGGAGGTTCCACTGGAATATGAGAAAAAACTTCTTTACGGTGAGGGTGACAGAGCACTGGAACAGGCTGCCCAGAGAGGTTGTGGAGTCTCCTTCTCTGGAGACATTCAAAGCCCGCCTGGATGCGTTCCTGTGTGATCTGATCTAGGTGTCCTGCTCCGGCAGGGGGATTGGACTAGATGATCTTTCGAGGTCCCTTCCAATCTCTAACATACTGTGTGACTCTGTGATTCTGTGCAGGAGGGTCTGCTACACCATGTGGTTGTGTGGCCATTCAGAGGGACCTCAATGGGCTGGAGAAATGGATGAACAGGAATGTCATCATGTTCAGAGGGAAATGCCAAGTCCTACAGCTATTAAGAAACAGCCCCATGCACCAGTACAGGTTGGGGACAGGCCAGTGGGAAAGCAGCTTTGCAGAAAAGGATCTGGAGGTCCTGGTGGACACCGACTTGAACTTGAGCCAGCAATGTTCCCTTGCAACAAAGAAGGCCAACAGCTTCCTGGGCTGCATTAGAAAGGGCATTGTCAGCAGATCAAAGGAGATGCTCCTTCACCTCTATTTCATGCTGTTGAGATCACATCTGCAGTGCTGGGTCCAGTGCTGGGCTCCCCAGTACAAGAGAGACATGGAGCAAATCCAGCAGAGTGATAAAGATAATTAAGAGACCAGAGCATCTGCCACATGAGGAGAGGCTGTGAAGGCTGAGATGTTCAGTGTGGAAATGAAAAGGCTGAGGGGAATCTTATCAGTGTGTATAAGTATCTGACAGTGTTGGGGGAAGATAGACACTTCTCAGTCATGCCCAGGAAAGGGATAAGGGGGATGAGAAACTGCATTTGAATGTAAGGAAAAGCATTTTTTTTACTGTGAGAGTGATTAAACACTGGAATTGGTTGCCCAGAAAGCTTGTGGAATCTCCAGCCCTGAAAACACTCCAAATCCAACAGGGTGCTGTCCTGAGAAACCAGCTCTATTTGACCCTGCTCTGAACAGAGGGATTAGGCATGATGATCTCCAGAGGTCCCTTCCAACCTCATCCTTTCTATAATTCTGAGAAATTATTAAAATAGAGCTACTAAGCTACCTTTTACAGAAGGAAACATTAAGAACTGGTGATTGTATTTTCTAGGCTATTGCAGGGATGTGGATTCAATCTCCTGTTAATTAATTCATAGTTTCAGCAGCTGCTGACAATTTCTATATAACTGTATGTTTTAAGTTAAAAATGCCAAGGTTCTTCAATAAGCGGTTTTTAAATATATGTAGCATGAACAGAAATAAGTAACATGCAGTTTAAAAATAGATTTGGCATCTTTACATCAATCCTCCTCCTTCCTTGTATGTGATCGCAACTAAAGATGTCTGCCTAGAAAAGATTACATCACTTTTGTAGATAAAGTGACTGTTGAAAAAGGGAAGCTCCTAGCATAAATTATTTGTAGTATGAATGTCCTGAATCACTTCAAGCCTAATGAGAAGTACCTTCAGAAAAGTCTCTTGCTTTCACTGGGAGTGAATATGTATTGTCTGACGCTCAGGTTTTCTTTTATGGCTGTATACAGTAATATTTTTCTGACAACACAGTCTCAGAACAAAGCAGCTTTTGCTCTTTATCGACAGGATAGCTCTTCCATTTGCCACTCTGACAGTATTTCAGACTGTATGTTTTAAAGCCATGTGCAAATAGACTACAATCTTATTCTATACATGGTAATATCCAAATGAGGTGACCAGACCTGTATCCCTGTGGCTGACCTCTAGCATTACTTATTTCAACAGTAAGAAAAAATATGATGTCCAGTGGAGGTCCACCAGGACAGAGGGGCTTCTACTTGCAAAGCTGATCTATGAAACTAGTATAGGGCTGGCAAACTAGCTCCAAATCATAACAACAGTATCACTAGCTCTAGGATATCAGATGAAAACTATCATACTAACGCTATGTTAAATTTTGAGATCAGATATTCAGAAAGGCATTCAGATCTGGTCCTTGTCTCTACCTGCCCTCCTGTATGTTTCCTGAAGTGCAGGAAGGACCGGCCATTAGGGTAGCACTGAATGCACTTAAGCTAACTTGTTAGCTTAAGATGCCTGAACCTTCTGAATTGGGAACAGTGTCCCTCAGTTCTCTGCAGGAGAGCAGAGACAGGACTCCCAGGGGCAATTCAGAAAAGTCAGTAAGATCTCTCTTTGATAGTGGCTATTAATATTGACTACACAAGGAGACTAAAGCAAGTATGCTTCTAGTCTACACACTTCAGATAGGTACAAAAAGCCGGAAAAGATGAGTGTGGGCCTTGAAACCATGCATGTTATATTTACTTGACAACAGCAGAATGCTGTAAGGAGCATTATAAGACAAATATTACTAAAACAAAGTAACTGTTTTAACACTTGAGCATTATCTTAGCACACAATTTGTTCCAAGCAAAACCACAACACTGTTATATTGAAGAGACCTTGATATCCTGTATTTGCAGTCTGTGAAACAGTGAGGAATACCTGAAATCTTGCTCTTTTGACACTTCTCTAGAAATAGATGAGCAGTAAGGATACTGTTTTTCACACAGCATCCCTCCTGTGCACTGTGGTAATATCCGCTCAAATACAGAAGAATGAAAACAATCACATTTCTCACCTCTCAAATGGACCAGATAATACAGAATTCAGATCAATCGGTGTTTTCCATTAATCGGTACGTGTTTACAAGTCAGACGAAAGCAATACTTGCTCAAATTACCTCCTTTCCTCAGGAAGATTTATTGAAGGCAACATAGAACAGCAACAATAGTCAATCATAGGTGGCAGACTGCCCTTTTATTAGGCATACTGCAGCCAATTAATCTAAGTGAGCTTTCTCCCTTTAACTCCTGGAGGCATGTACGGTTAGAATGCATTTAAAAATTCTGCACCAATAAATAAAGGTGCTGAAACTATTCATTTGAACTTTGAGACATTATTTACAGGCATTTGAGACACTAAGTATTTGCACTCTATGTACTCTGCTGGGCAATATAATTTGACTAGATCCAAGACTTAAAGTTCTAAAACAAGGCTTTGTGGTACTGCCATTCTCAAGGGTAGCAGAAAGAGAAAGGAATGTCTGTGAAACGAGGTAAAAGCAGTAGGAACACTGAAACCTGCCTTAACACTGAGTCAGAGCTCTGAGTTAATCAGAAGTCGTCACATAAAGTTGCAAGGGAAGGGGGCTACTGAACCAGTCACACATTTACAGTACAGAAGTAATCAATTATTGGAATTTATTTCTAGATGTCAGATTATCTGCCATTTACAGGAGATAACAAAGGCCATTTGAGGTGAAAAGCAAGTCTATAATAATCTTATTCATTATGAAACATCAAAACCTAAGATGTCTTAATTTATGTTCTCATTTTTGCAGCCCATGTGCTTCTAATTAGAACTGCTGTAATATATTCTCTTGGGAGGCATGTAAGAGAAGTGAGTAACTTTTTAGTAGCAGCTTCCTATTTCAGGGCACACAAATAATCCTTTATTCTTGGATTACTTCAAACATCCTCCTTGGATTACCTTCATTGTAAATTCAGTTATAATCTTACCAGTTTCACAGCTGGGCCCAGTGAAGCCTTGTGGGCAGGCACACACGTTGGAAGCAATACAGGCTCCTCCATTCCTACACCCGTCTTTGCAAAATGCTGCGAAATGCAAAATCACAATATGTGGGTAACAGAACTACACTCAGCAACCAGGCAGGGGGCCACAGTCCACTGTCAGGCTGGCACGAGACGCAGTCCCTGTGGCACGGGTGCAGAGGCTGCCTTCTCCTAAGGATAGAGGTCATGAGGAGATGGTTTATGGCCCCCCTGCCTCACTGGCCAGATGGGCTGACAAGCTACAAAAGGAGATTAGAGTAAATCATCTGAAGACAACAGCTCACATACGTGCTCCTTTGCATGCACTGGGAAGCAGTGAAAGGCAGCATCTTCCCCAGGAACAGACTCTTCCTAGGGCAGTGCTAGTCTTCTCTGCTACCCAAATAAAGGCCTGAGCATAATAGGCATAACTGAACTCTAAGCTGTCTGGCTATCTCATTCCTTGATTAAGCAATTAGATTGAAACAATAAAAATAGTAATTTTGTCTCAAGGGATTCTGAAGAACTTAACTTTTACCATTTACAGTTTGAAGTCAATCCCTAGATTTGCTCTTTGGCACGCTGCAATCTGAGAAGCCGTGCTCTTGTATTTAGGCGCAGTATTCTCTAGATACAGTTGTGAATACATGTGTGCATCAGTGTCCCTTCTGCAGACACAAAAATGCAACCAGCTCTGACAGAAAACATGGCAGCTGTTTAATTGCTCTGCTTGTATCTGCAATATTGAATGGGCAATGCTCTGGTCACAAGAAACTACAGAGAAAACTGTAGGTGGAACTAGACAGATGGAGGTTATCACCAATGGAAAGAGCTGCTCTGGGGCACCGGTCTAGCCCTGCACTTGTAACCAGCCATCAGAGATGCCGGGCTTTGGTTTGCAGCTGCTCTGTGTAACAGCACCACTGATGAGGTCTTAAGAACATGAATGTTATCAATTTGTGCTTTCCAGCTCTCCATTTCCAGGCACCAGCCCTGTGGCATGAGACCCCTGGCACTGACTGAGACATTTAAGCTTCCTGGTGCAGGATGACACGGTGCACAGAAGCACGGCTGGCAGCACAGTGCGTGAAAAGCTGCCAAAGCCACCGGGACAAGAGGGACATCCAGGTCTCTCTCAAGGACGCTGGTGTCCAAGCCAGGGCTGCAGAGAAGTACATTTCTCAAATTTGGATACACAGGCTCAGAGTCTTCTGCATACTGTCTTTTCAGAATTGAAAAGGGAGGGAGGGAAGGATGCACTTTTCTCTGACAGTGGGGCCAGGTGCCCTCCGAAATGTCTGACCTGCTGTCAGAGCTCTTACTCAGGCAACAGAAGAGCTGAGCACTGTGCTCTAGGGTTATACACCTTCTCTTTAACCCAAATAAATCTCAGTTACCTTTTTGTAAGCTGACACACCTCCAGCAGACGGACGGGGGAATACTCCCAAGCACAGCACGGGAGTGAGTTGCACAGAGTTCTCTTCTGAGAAGAGTGGCTCTGGGTTTGAACCTCCTCAGGCTAAGATTTTTTTCCCATTCCCCGGAGGAGGAGCACAGCACAAAATATATTTGCTGACATCTCTCCCTCTACCCATGTGTTTGACTGGAAGTGGACTAGGTTGCTGTGCTTTATACAGAGCTTGTTTATGTTAGGAATATTTAGAAAAATCATACCATGACTCAGGTGAAGGAATAACTAGTGCTAAGATCTTAATCAGGCTAGGTTGCTAATAGATCAAGAGGACTGAGGCACAATTTCAAGGAACGCTGAATATGCTATTGCTGCAGTGAGACTATTTCTCACATCTGAGCCAGTTCCCCTACAGCTACACTATTATTTTCAATCATCCTCTAAATCCTATGCTCAGAGCCTGAGAACTTCCAAGGATTTGGGCCCAAGTACCAAGTATCACCTCCTCTGATGTGAAATGCAATGGAAATAAAAGCAGCATTGTACATCTGGGTAAGCATCTTTCTAAGACCAGTAATATAACTTCTAATATTTACCAGTAAATGAGAATGTTAGAAAACAAGTCACCACCTTGTGTGTAGCAAAGGTTTTGTATGTGAATTTCTCATTTACAATAAAGAGACACAGCATACCAAACAACTTTCAGTTCATCCAAGCAAAATAGCAAGTGATTGACAGTGGACAACATAGATCTGACAATGTTTTCACAGCTGTTAACTTTGTTGGTAACTCGGGACTTCCTTTAATGTTGTAGCATGTATAGAAACTGTTAACTTGAGACAGAAATGAAACATAATTATTTCAAGTTTTAAAGCATACTAACTTCTGTACGCATCATCCTCAAATTACTGCAAACTCTATCAAATGTAAGTCAGTGGATATCTGTCTATGAAGATGTTGTTATAGGTGCAGGACCTAAATACTTAGCCTAGCATTTTGTGTGTCTTCTTCAAGGTACGTGAACAGATTTGCATCAACTATGACAAAGCACCTCATCCAGTTCAAAGTCTGACAATACCCCTGGGGTTTTCAGCAGCTTACCTTTGCAGATGGTACCATTTCCTGTGTATCCTGGCTTGCAGACACAGTTGTGCCCACCCACGGTGTTGAAACAGAGTGCATTTTCATCACAGTTGTGCTGGTTTGTTATACATTCGTCATGCTCTGAAAAGTGAAACAAGAATTGGATGATCATGAGTTTTTAGAACACAACAAAACAAAAGCTTTGTACAGGTTTCCACATTAAAAAGAGATAAACAGTAGTAGTTACTGACAATAGGGCTATGTAAGCATGTAACCATGGGATAGCCAGGGTATGTATTTTTAGCACATACTAGAATGTGATAACTGTGCTGCAGCATGACTCCGACTTCATTAACAGGGAGTCACCATCATTATAATTTCTATGTGGGCTACAGCATTCTCGTAAACATTTGCCAGAGAGATGGCTAACATACTGAAAATCCATATGGTACTTCTACTGTATAATTTATTCATGCAGGTTTATCTCATGGGGGATTCATAGGGTTTCCTTCAGAAAGCTGACTAATGGTGCAAGTCACATGCTCCAAAATGCAAAAGATACAGTTAGAAGAAGGCAGGACTTCAAAATGTAGCCCGTGTTTTCTTTTCCTTCAGTGCATGCACAGCATTTTATTTAGATCAAGTAAGTAACCCAAAAACAAAGCTCCACCTGCTGTTCAAGAGGCTTTCGTCACGGTGTGACCTAGCACCAGAGTGCAATGGATGATACTCCTCAGTCTGGTGACTAGACTTAGGCATACTGGGAAATACGCCTTTTGAAAACAAATGAAAAGTCTTGAAAATATGATTTTGTGTTAAATTGCAATGCACTATTTAATCTGAAACAAAAAACTACAATGTAAGTGTTCAGGTTACTGAACATTTTAACATTTTAGTTCGTGTTTTTTAAGAAATGGAAATGCAAATTCAAAATAAGATGCTCTAAAGTGTCATTTCAAAATGCCACATGAAATGCTCTAGTATTTTCAAAATTCAGTATCTTAGTCTGTAAGCATCAAAATAAGATGTTTCCATCTCCTGGATATATTCCTTGCATTTTCTTTAAATCAACACTATTCACCTATCCATAAATAATTTCAGACCCCTGAAATTTTAATTTCAGGAAAACTAACTGTTTGGGGAACATAAAGGCACCTAGTTTCAATCAGCACGCATGGACTAACCTACATGTGAGGTTTTCATAGCCACCATTCTACCCAGGTTTTAGCAAATTTCGTTAGCGTAGCTTATGCCAGTTCTGGCTATCTGACACAAGTCTTAAATCTGGAACAGGATGCTCTTTCAGTTTTGGTTATGTCACACTGCTCTGAATCTTGACTTTTATTAAAAAAGAGTTGAAGTCTGCACATACCCCACACAGTTGTCAGGAAAATTAATGTCTTAACATTTGCAAATCACTATGGAAATGTTCAACTTGCTATTTCAGTACTGGCCATAAACTGTAGGAATATAAAACTGGCTGAATGGCACATCTCTAATCCATCAGTAGATGTAAATTGTCCTCCAGTAATGACAAGGACCTGTTGTTTATAAGGGGGAAAAATTCACCACAATGTAACTAATAAATTTTAAACACTACATAGGCTTGGATAATTTTTCTCACTTTTAAAAGTTCTACATAAGGTCAAGTGAGTTTCACCTTCCCCTCTACGCTGCCCTGGTGAGACCACATCTGGAATATTGTGTCCAGTTCTGGGCCCCTCAGTTCAAGAGGGACAGAGAACTGCTGGAGAGAGTCCAGCGCAGAGCCACAAAGATGATTAAGGGAATGGAGCATCTCCCTTATGAGGAAAGGCTGAGGGAGCTGGGTCTCTTTAGCCTGGAAAAGAGGAGACTGAGGGGTGACCTAATGAATGTTTATAAATACATAAAGGGTGAGTGTCAGGAGGATGGAGCCAGGCTCTTCTCTGTGACATCTAGTGATAGGACAAGGGGCAATGGGTTCAAGCTCGAACATAGGAGGTTCCACTTGAATATGAGAAAAAACTTCTTCATGGTGAGGGTGACAGAGCACTGGAACAGGCTGCCCAGAGAGGTTGTGGAGTCTCCTTCTCTGGAGACATTCAAAGCCCGCCTGGATGCGTTCCTGTGTGATCTGATCTAGGTGTTCCTGCTCCGGCAGGGGGATTGGACTAGATGATCTTTCGAGGTCCCTTCCAATCTCTAACATTCTGTGATTCTGTGATATAACATACAACAGGAAAATAACTATAGAAACGTGAGAAACATTATGCACCAAGCAGGCCAAAATCTCCTGCAAAGCTATTATCTCAGTATCTCAGAAAGTAGGTTTTATACTACTACTTGGGCCCCTCACTACAAGACATTGGGATGCATCCAGAGGGCAGTGAAGCTGGTGAAGGGTTCAGAGCACAAGTCTTACAATGCTGAGTAGTTGAGGGAACTGGGGTTATTTAATCTGGAGAAAAGGAGGCTGAGGAGAGACCTTACTGCTGTCTACAACTACCTGAATAGTTATAGGTTATAGAGAGGTAGGCATCTCTCTCTTTTCCTAAGGAACAAGTGATAGGATGAGGGAAAAAAGCCTCAAGCTGCACCAGGGGAGGTTTAGATTGGATTTTATGAAAAATGTCTTTACTGAAAGGGTTGTCAGGCATAGGAACAGGCTGCCCAGGGAAGTGGTTAAGTCACCATCCCTGGACGTATTTAAAAGACGTGTTGATGTGGCACTTAGGGACATGGTTTAGTGGTGGAGTCGACAGTGTTAGGTTTATGGTTGGACTTGATGGTCTTTTCCAACCTAAATGATTCTATGATTCTACAATTCCATACAACAATACATTACACTGGTAAACTCAGTGTAAGTCACTGAATTTAACAAATCAAGTATCATCCTCAGTGAAGAAGCACAACCATCCACCCATGCCTTGGGGATGCAAAAGCAACCCTGGCATATAAAGTTGCTCTTTACTATGGGTAAGAGTATATTAGAGGAAAGCGAGTTATCACAGACTGTCACACTAAGAGGAACAGCTCTAACCATGTGCCTGGGACAGCTCAGAAAGCCCATCAAGGCACCCACAGGCAGGACAAGTGCTCTGGCCTCTATGCCAAGCAAACTTGCTATTGGTATTCTAGTCCAACAAGGTATTAACCATATTTGTAACACCTTGCAGTACTGGGGCCTTGAACACCATTTGCACAGGTGTATGTCCTTCATATAAAAAGATGACTGTCACACTTGAGTGTGCCTTCCTAACATTTACTCTCTGGGCTAAGAAAAACTACAGATTAAGATGGATTTTTCTTAAAGCATACAGTATCAATAAAATTAACTTTCTGTCAGCTAAGTAAGGGTGTTTAGATTCAAAGATAATATGCCTGCTTTCCTATCCTATGTAAAAACTTCAGTGTTTCTTATCCTCCTCTAAGAAAGTTCATGGAGGATGCTTCCGAATATTTCAGGAGGAGGGTGCAGCACCTAACCCAAATTGTATCAAAGCAGCTAACACGTCTACTTCTGTGGTTACCTGCTCACACTTCAGGTCTACTTTTATTTAAAACAGACACTAGCAACTCATGAAAAAATCATGGGTCTGATAAAAGATTCTTGGATGGAAGTTTACATATCATTTTTAGGAGGAAAATGTATCAAAGTAAAAGGAAATTTTGTTATTCAATTAAAGGGGCAGAGATTTTAAAAGGACAGGAATAGGAAAAGTCAGCAAAAAATAATCAGGGTGTTTTACATTCCATCTAGATTGTTGCCCTGTGCCATCTGAGCTTAGGTTCAATAACACAATTAAAAAACATTCAAACATAGTACTTCTTCAGATTCCTTCTTCCAGTGGCACCTAAAGAGCAGTCAGCCTACACTGGAGGACCTCCTCCTTTATGGACTGATTACAAATGGTTAAACTACACCGGAAAAAAACCTGTACATAAGACATCTTACTACATTCACTCTTCCAACACACGGCACACTATCCACATGAATTTAAATAAACCATCAGAAACAGCTTCTTCCAGAATTCTCTGTTAATAACAAGGCAGACTGTCCAGCCTTATTAAAGGTAGAAATACTTATTCGTAATTAAAAGGGTGGTGCTCTCTTCACAATTTTTCATTAACTCACGCTTATCATTTTGGTCTCTTTTTTTAAGCAAACACTTGGAAATCCACCTCAAATAAGGACATTGCAGAGACCAGGAACTGTAGAAGCAGACAGGACTGTGCATTACGAAGAACCAAAAAAGCAATTTATAAAAGAATCATTTAAAGAGAACCATTAATATGTTTGTAAGTTCAAAAGCCAGTAAAGAAACATTATTTGCATTATTTAGAAATATCAGTACTGCCCAAATATATTTCTGATGCTGTATGAAGAAACACTGAAGCCATTTATTTCAAGCATCTTCAGAAATCGTGTGACACATTCAACAAAAGTCCTGTACTTATTTCGCTGCCCACCATAATGATGATGGGAACAGGCCAGGTACAACAGTATTACAGAGGCAAGGAAATAAAAATACTTTTTGCAAAAGAGATTTTAATGATTAACACATCTGAATTTGCAGAAACATAAAGACCAAATGCACTGATTTCAATGATTACGTCTAAAAGCTTTTTTTTTTAATATATCTAAATTCCATTTTGCACTGTTCAGGACTCTACACTCAACAGTGCTAAAATTAATAAAATCTCTGTTCTGAGTGAGAATCAACCAAAGTTTCAAATGCAGTATTTATACTGACTAAACTATCTCTGTAATGAGGTCTTCCTAGATAGAAAAAAAAAAACAAAAACCTCAACTCTAAACTTTGCTATTGCTCCACAGTAATAACAACAGCAACAGTAAATGTGTACGAATGTTCCATTACACAGTCCTTATGACACATGACTTAGGGGTGCAAACAATTATGTGACCATGCAATTAATGCACTTACGCGCATTTGGGTGTGCAGCAAATAGATTATATACCCACACACCAATACATATGTCACATAAATACATACACACATATGCACACACATATATACACATACAGTAAAGGTGATGTATTTAATTTTATTTTGGTTCATTTTGAAATATTGCTCTAGAATATTCCGTATGGTTTGCTTGACAAAAATGTTACTTCAGGATACCGAGGGTGAAGTACT